TCATTATTTCACAAAATTGGATTCTTCGATCGGAGTCGTCTTCGGTTAGTTCCTGTACAATCTGCATCTTATAAGGGTAGAATTTGTGCACCTTAAGAGTTCGTCGTACAGTTTCTCGCGAAAGTCCGGTCATAGTCGCTGCTTTTCGAATAGATGATGTTGGGTTTGCACCAAAATGACCTAAAACTTCAATCTGAGTAGCTTCATCCATTATTCTTGGTCCGTCTCTTTTCTTATTTTCCACTGACCCAGTTTCTTCAAATTTAGTCACTAACATTGCAACATAAGTGTGACTGACACGTCGTTCTGGGTGTCGGGCATTAAAAACAGCTGCTGTTCTAAATGCAGATCGCGCTTCAGAACCATAGATGAAAATAATTTCAACTCTTTCGGCTAACGTGTACACCATTATGAAATCTTTAGTTAAATTCAAAATTTGTAATTTTCTTGCCAAGAAATATTAAAAACGAGACTAAAATAATAATAACCGATCAACAAATAAAGCAATAGAAAATTATTATTTACTAAAAATTGTTGTCATTGTTTTTCCAAAGCATCACTAGATCTAAGAAATTTTTTTTTATTTCAAACTGACAAATTCATCAAATACTCAAATTACTCATTTTTATTACATAAATTGTGAATGGGCAGTTTAAATGCACCAGTGTATGGTATTTCTGAAAAGCATTTTTTAAGAGCTTTCCAATGATGTATCACAAGTGATACGTCACAATTCAAAATTTAGGCATGGGGGTGGCGGGGGGTACGAGGTTGAAGTTGGTTCCTTCTTTATACGACCATTTTGCTTCCCCCTCGATTCTACCGAAACGGTTTTGGCCATTTTGTGATACCTCTAATATAAAAAACGATATCGCCCATTGAAAGTTTTAAAAGTGTCACCCTGTATACTAAAGACCTTTAAAAATGTAATCGAAAATTTTATGTAAATTTCGGACTCGAGCGCCACCAATGGGTGTGAACAAGGTTTCGGAACGGCTACGCGTGCTACAGGGAACACGTCGGAGAAACGGTCTCCAGAGATCTCGCGGGTAGATGCGATGGGATTCTGGCGAAGAAACTGAAATCGATGGTTTAAACACGATTCGGTTACCAAAGTAAATTTAGGAAAAAGCTCCAAAATAACAGTACTTACGAAACGTAACTTTTCGAAGACAAAAATTTTCTCGAAATTATGCGTTTATCTTGTATACACTTCCCAAAAATTAATACCTCCTTCATTGTGCGGCCCAAAGTTTTTATGCTGCTATATCAAAAAAGTGTAATTCTTTAAGAATATGTGAAAACCAATGGTTTCTATTTTTAAAAATGCCCCCTTTGACTATGCAGAAGTATGCCACTCACTACAAATTTCAAGTACGTATATTGGTAGCAAACGTAGGTTAGGCTCTTGTTAGAAGAGGATTAAATTGTGCAATATTTTTCATGTAAATTTTCTGCAAACTTTTGCTAGTGGCAAGACAAATGCCATTTTTGTAAATGTTCTGCGCAGTTTTGGAAAATGAGGAATTTGACGTTAAAGATGCAGATATTTACGTACATTTATACAATACTTCACTTCATTCATTCGAAATTGATGTCACACAGCTAAATTAAATTTTATTCTGAAAGCATAGGTAGGTATTTCTTATTTGATGTATAAATTGTATAATATGCATGAATCCAATCATGAAATGTATTGTGTATTCAAAGGGTTAGAAATAATTCCATCGCCACATTTATATTCAAACAATAGAATTATTTTGCGTGCTAAACGCATAGATTCAATTACAGTAATTCCTATCACTGAACAAATTAGTGAACTCTATGCAATAATAACCATTTAATAGTTGATATATCTGAATGTAATTAAATGTGGAAATAGCTCATATATTAGGAATCCATACATGCAGATAATATTCTGACCATGATCCTTTGGAAAGCAGCGGACAAAGGAACTAAACATTATTTATTGTTACATCGTGAACAATTCAGATTTGCAGTTTTTCATAGTATTCGTGACAATTTATAATTGAGAGCGGTAAAATTTTGTTCGAAAAATAAATATTCCTAGTTTAAACTAAAGCAAATATTGTATGTGTATGTTTCCAGTTGTTTGCATTTTGTTTTCATTCCCTTTTACAAATATTACGATTATTATTCCTTTGTTTGCTTTTCATTGCATTCATATTTACATTTAAAATATATAGTCGAATACATTTTTGTAGTACTATACGGGAAATCTAAAGCTAAAACTCGTTAATCGTATATCAATTTTTTAGTGAGTGTACTGTCGCACTCACTAAAAAATTGATATACGTCCAAGGTTTTCTTTTTATTTTACCAATAGTCAATTAACAAAAACCTCCACTATTCACCAATTTATGTTACTGACTAACAATGTGTATTAATCATTTATTAAGGATCCTCAGATTGATTTTCAGAAAGCTGGTTCAATTGGAACAAACGTTATACGACTTTGAGTGAATCGAGAACAGGACAAACTGCTCGCTCAATATAATAGAAATCAATATATTTCATTCCCTAGATCATGTATCGAGTTCCGCCTTTCGCTAGATTATTCCCTATGACTCTTAGATGTGTAACAATTCAATATAACTCTTCTCTGTGGTATAGGTCAAAAGTTTTAGAGCAAAATATACCCAAAATTATTTTTTGCACATGAATTTGAAGTTTTAAAACTTTTCAAACGCATTATCTTGATGCTGAAAGAGTACATCACGTGCACATTTGATAACAGCATTTACGGCGACCACATGGATTTTGATCAAAATATGTCAAAATCGTTATTTATGCACCAAGATCGTTGGGAAAGACCAAGAGCATCTCAATGACCAAAACATGAATTTGATCTATTTCTGGCGACCACGTGGATTTTGATCAAAACATATCAAAATCACATTGCGCGGATAACTCGAGACTGTCCGTTGTAGAATTTGAATTTATAAACAATTCAAAACCTTCCACAAGGTTCCCAAACTATATTATATAAATGACTAGCATCAACATTCCGTTTCCTTGCACATCATATTCATACACATTCTTGATGATTAATTTAATCTTCGGCGGTGTATCATTTTCATAATATCGAATTAGTATAATCAAATTATTAATCTGGCCAACACTAATTTTTTTAAAGCATGTTAATTATACATCATCACTGTGATTAGATGTGCAAATCATAGCAGTCGATGTCTGAGTGCCAAATGCACCTGCAAGTGTTCGTGATTAGCATACTAACTTTTAGTATTATGCGAGATTAGTCCTTCTATAGATGTTGGGTTTATAGGCAATGATTTTCTTCAATTATTATAATTGACACTATAATTACGTTCGGGAAATAAAATAAAGGCAGAATGTGGTAATTTGGTGCTTTGAAGTATATAACGACTAGTTTATTATATGTGGTTAATAAGAGTCGATACAGTCGATATACCTGCTTATTAATATAATTAGATTTATAGCATACAATAAGAAAAGTTGTAAGATCTTTATTTAGAGCATTTAAGTACATATTTCTAATCGTGATGAATTTTTTTTTGGTGAACATCTTTTTTCATCTCCAACATAGGCTCCACTAACATTTGTACAAAGTTAACTAAATAAAAATGGTGAAATGTGCCAGACTTTTAGGCTTTTTACATTTTTCAAGAGCAGCGCTCATTCTACAAAATAATTGTTGAGAGCTCCCTTATTGCATCATTTGTGTGATTGCATACGCATCCACTGATGTTTACATAATCTATTCGACAATCTTTTGAACATGGCCATCCCTTAATTTTAATAAGTTGCTTCTATGCGACTTATGCCATTTGTTCCAAGTCCATTTTATCTGATCCCATGTGGTGTATTGCCTACATGTTTTATGATCTGAACTATACCGAGACTCATAGAGTTGTGTAGATTCAGATTGCGACTACGATGAGGGAGGTCGTGGTTGCGCTTGCGAATCCCGCTATTGTCTGTTCTAGTGTTCTGTTCGGGGTTGTGTCAGAGGGTTTCTCTCTTCTGCTTCTTCAGCGTCCTAACTATATTCCTTCCGATACATTCCCAAACTCCCGCTTCCTGGTTGAAGAGGCTCTGAAAAGCTTGAGCAGCCCCAGGTATCGGAGGAATGAGACACGTTGACCTTTTACCTCTGGAATAGTATCTTATGCCATCGAGCAACATGTTCTTTTTTCCTTCTTCGTCTTTGTTTTGTGGGCTGTGCCCATTACTTCAAGTATACCTACTTTTTTATATATTTATTTCCCATTTTTCCATTTTTCACACTACTCTTGAGCTATAAAGCTCAATTCGCTTATTAAGATGGTTATTCTGAAAAAAATCACACAAAACAGATTTGTATCAAATAAAGTGTGATTTAATCAACAATTTCTATGTACAATATGCAATTTCATTATTGTTGTTCATTTTTCGAAAATATTGCCTCGAAATATCTACGTGACACTTATTTACTATTTCATTATCAAAAGATTATGAATACAAATGTAATATTTTTTGTATTAGGTATACGTGGATGAATTTTTACGTATCCTTATACATTTAAGACAAATGATACAGCCAAAAATACCAGGTGTGTTTATAAGTTCACTGTAAAATATACTTAGTAAGACCATTGTATTTATATTCGTTTATAAATACAATGGTAAGACGTATTGATACAGAAAAAATTACAAATTGATTATAAGATTATACCAATAAATCGTCAATTGTGAAGTAACACCAGTTTTCATAGAAATTGGCTTGGTTTTTAGATTTGACCCTTTACAGGCGTGTAATTTATACCAGTATCTGTGAAGTAGATAAATGTTCTTATTTAATCACATTTTTATTCTCACTAAAACTTCATTGCTTACCTACTGATTGTAGCATCGCCGTGAAGGCTGCCTGTAATTTTTCCTCGTCGTTTTCAAAAGATTGCTTGTATTTGACTATAATACGTACTTATGCCATTGTCTAACATTTTGTATTTTTTTAGGGCCCACCACAACCCGGACAGCCATTTAAATTCACCGTAGGAGAATCTTGCGATAGAATTAAAGAAGAGTTTAATTTCCTTCAAGCGCAGTATCACAAGTAAGTGTCCCCTAATTCTTACAAGAAAAATAAAGCCATATAAGTTAAAAGTTGACAAAAATTATCCATATGTATGTTTCAATGGTTTAACATGATTTTGCTAATTGGATTTATTGCCGAATTTTTGATAAAATAATGAGAAATACACCTGAAAATAAGCTATTCGTATATCATTAGATGAGAAAAAAATCTTTTGATTGGTGTCATTATAAACCCTCTAAGTTAACATGGGGAGCAACGATCTTCAAAAAACGTTTTACCCATGTTAATTGCCTATGTTCGGTTTTGGTATGTATTTCTTTTTTAACTTTTTTCCATCGACAGTATGCGGTAATTCAATTCATTGTAGTATAGTGTACAACAAATCTTGAAATGCGCAGTTACTACACGAGTATGACAGTTTAGCGCATCTATTCTAACAAAAATCAATTGACTTCGACTTTAATAAATGAGACAGTTGGCAGTAAATGTTTAACTCGACTGGACTAAATCTAAAGTAGGTACTTGAAAAAGTAAGGGAACCTATAAATTTTCACTTAGAACTTAGTGTGTTATGGTAATGTGACACAATAAATCAATCAATCAATTATGCAAACATTTTAAAAAGAAAATAAGATGAACACCGACTTGATGTAAAAGTAGGTGGTTAAACCATTTTCACGTATACGCTTCAACATAAATTTCTTGCCATTATTTAGGTACTTAAATGTTCTAACATACAACATGGCAAACTACAAGAACTGGCAAACAACAAGAAACGGCAAGACGATAACACAATAAAACGTTAATAGTTCATAAATACCTTCAATGTGTGTGCACCCGTAGGTATCGATGTGTTTCATGCGCTTCCTCGATTAATCGATGTAGAAACAAATTTGTGCCACCTCTTGCAGTCTGATATGGTGTATCTGCACGGACCGGCTACAGAATCTTGTGGAAATATTCAATTATCTTGTTTTCCTTGCAAATTAATGCTGTAGAAGTATTTGTCTACGGCATTTAGGAAAAAATGTGACCGTTAAGGTGGGTACGCTATATATCTGGGTGACTATTTGACAATGAAACAATGAAATTTTGGGGGCACTTAAAACAAATGCTGGTTATTCGAACAATCATGATCATATTTAGGGCACTTCCATAAGAATCGAGAATTCTTAGTATTTGTGAAGACCCTGTAAGTGATTGTGAAAAATCATTATGCTCATTCGAATAAGCAACAGTATTATATGTACCCGCAAATTTTTTATGTTTTACGTCTACTAGTCACTGAGATACAAAACGTTCAAGTACCCGGCTTAGTTATCAATTTTGTTAAAATACTAATATCTCGAAAATGGTCAAAGATGGTCATTGGTCATAGTTATTGTCTGCTAAACTAACCTTAATTTTCAAAGAGGAATTTAAATGTGGAATTGGGGGTTGTCATTTAAAATAAGGAAGTTGGTATCTACTTCCGGCATAACCGGAAGTGTTAGAACACTGCTACTATTTTAAAATGGTTGTGTGTGTACATTTTTATAAGAGTATCTTTTCTACTTTCCCATATAACGTTAGTTGTCCCCTTAAAAGAAAGGTCCTGCGCGCGAAACCTGATATTATGAATGTTGAGGACGTATTTTTGTATTCCTTTCGATTATTTTAGTTTATACATTTAAACCTAATAAAGTAATAACAGTCATTAAGTGTGTAACTTATTCGCATGTTAAAAAAGGACTAAAACGAACTTTTTGTTTTCAAAAAACCAACAATCCAACAAACTATGTAGGTTTTTGGCTATGCTCTTTCCAATTTTGTGATTTTCGAAAATCTTCTAATCTCCAGGAAATTTGTGGTATGTGAACATCAAAAAACTTAGTTCTTCAAAATTAAATAAAATTAATTTGCGTTTTTTTTTGTGTATCTAGGGGTAGGAATTTTCTAGAAAACTGGAAAGGGCATACCCAAAGGCCTTGGTAAAATCGCTAATGCTATCTTGCTATTTTTTGGGGACGTTGTTCCCAAACGAAACATTTTGGACTCTTTTTTTTTGTTAAATATGTTTGTTTTGTTTCGCTCTACCTCCTAATTTTTCCAACTTACTTCCTTTAGGTTCATCTACTTTCATAGCGTAGCTCAGATGAGTTTACGTTAGTAGCCCTTAACTATGGCTACAAGGGTCCTGGGTTCGAATCCCAGATCAGGGATGGCTATTCGTGATTGTAGAGTGAGCCTAGTGGGGAAAGTAGCTATCAGCCTAACATTCCGTCCACTATAACATAAAGTCAATACAATTTTAAAAAAATTTAAAAAAATTATCAAAACCTACTCGTGGGTAACACAACTGTAAATTAAGAGTAACAGGCAGATATAGACCATAGAAGCTATGAATTAGCGAAAACCCGAAGTTTTTAGGTGGCCCATCAGGGGCCGAGATCTCGATGGAACAGACAGACAGACGACGGAAAATCGATCACATTAAGCATTACCTCAAATTCGTTGTGTTACGCTAAAAATATCCAAAATCTGACAAACATCAACTATGCTTCCGCATTTAACTGTGGGCGCTGCTGTAGATTATGGGTCGTTTCATAGTAGTCATAATTTCTCCCGTAGTGGGATGATACCCTTGATGATAGGTTTCTCAACTTTCTTAACCCTAACAACCTTATTTTTCTAATTTATTTTTACTTTATAATATTTATTTCTTTTTCAGTTTAAAATTGGAGTGCGAGAAACTAGCCAGTGAAAAAATTGAAATACAGAGACATTACGTTATGGTAAGTACACTAATTCTTTGCCAAACTACTCACGGAAAGATCCCGCATGTTTTGCAACCAAAAAACAGTTTAGAAATGTTCACATGAATAAAAAAAATCTTCATCCCCATTGCTTTTTTAAGTACCTAAAATGGTGTATTCAAACCATAAAGTAAGAACATTATATGCGATGCACCTCCAGGGAATTTTGCAGTATGAGATTCATGAAGCTTTCGGACCTTGGTGTAGAGTCCACTGCAGTTATGATGATTTGCCAAACATTACATTTTGGTGATGGTGATTGAAAACACGCAATTTCACAAGAAAAAGTGTTTTATCAACGATTCATATTTTTATTTTTTTTTTATTAAAGCGAATTTTTAGACGAACATGATTAAATGCAATTAAAAGCAAGCACGACTGTGTAAAAAATGTTTTTATTCATATTATGTAGAGTATCACGCGCAAAAGGGTTTTTTGTTCATCTACTTCGGTACATTCGAGGGTACCTACATTTCATGTCCGTGTCTCACTTTCTCATTTTACGTTCGAGTTATATAAATTTCATAGTATAGCATTTCCATTATAATTAAAAACGTAACGAACGAATTTGCAATTATAATGAAGACCCCCCTGAAAATATGCTCTATGTAACTATCGTAAGTGTATGATTTCCATCAATTGAATGTAACAAGTTACATTTATGCAAAATATAAAGTTATTAGTTAAAAGCGAACTGGCGTGACTGAAAATATTAATATCCATAAATAAAGTAGTTACGGCAGTAGACTACGGAATACATCAAAATGATAAAATCTGAACAAAATTCTTCACTATATCAACGCTTTGATATAAAAACACGCGATACTTTATTCAAATTAGTTGTGCAAATGTTGAATCTTTAATATTGTAATCTTCCTGTACCCACGTAACGTACCGAAAATATTCACTTATCAAGATTAACTAACATGAGTTGGTTGGAAGTAGAAAGTAAAGGCAACTTTCCCTGTTATAATTTTTATAATACCAGTGATTAGTGTCAAAGGATAAGCAAAACATGACTCCTTCTTATGGTCATTATTTGTTCACACCATTGTCAAATTTCTGCTGTCGTGCAAAATGAAATGGTTACCTACCCTTCGTGATTATCACTTTGTTTTAATTTGTGATTGAAATCATCAGTATGAACCCCTGAAAGCACCGTACTTAGCTTTGCTTTAAATTTAATTATTGTCACCTATAAACTAATATACATTTAAAATTTCAGGGTATGAGCCCTTATTTAACACTTACACAGTTGACATCGGAAAACTTAAACGCGGTAAATTCATTCCAGCGACCTGTCTGTTGATAAATTCTCCTCCAGAAAATTTACTGAGAAATAAAAACACGAAGATGTTATTTACACCATTACTGTAGTACTCACCCTATACATGCCTAGTACTACCTGTTTTTAGCGCTGCTTGAACGCCGCCCATGCATTTCCAGATTAGTAGAAAAAAGGCTAAATCTGTGTGAAGTTTTTAAAGTGTTTATATCAGTAAATCCCGAAAGCTCCCAATTTCCGTCGAAATCCTTTTCGTACCCAAATAAAAGAATCCCAGGAGTACTTCAATGATTATTGATTTCTGCTGGTTTACGAAAAAAAGATTGTGCTAAATTACACATAATGGCCACTAGTCCAGTAAATCTAAATTGAACATGGGTAACCCAGGAATTTTGGGAACATTTATTCTTTTGTCCCTTGATCGAAAAGGCCCCGAAAGAAAACTAACCCTGAGTTACTCTCAAAGTTCACCGTTTTTCCGCCATTTTGAATCATATGTTTTACCAAACAGCAGTTTTGGCTGTTTCGGCGTGAAGTGGTCGATGACGTGGAAGCGTCGATACGTGTTCTCGGGGCTTCATTTGTGAGAAAACTTTGTCCTGCGTTATGATTAAAATTAAAATTAAAATTAAAATTAAAATTAAAATTAAAATTAAAATTTAAATTTAAATTTAAATTAAAATTAAAATTAAAATTAAAATTAAAATTAAAATTAAAATTCATACCTATGTAAAATACGTAAAATGAAAGGAAATCGTTGAGGAATATTACCTAGATAACCCAAATGATAAAATAAAAAAATGTTACCAAGGATGTTTCTGAATCTTTATTTTCTCACTTAAAATGTACTAAAAATAGACTCTTGTACCATTATATTGTTGTACGAGGGTGTTCGAAGCCTCAATGAAGCAAATATACAATTAAAAAAAATAGAATCTCAACGCGAACCGTAAACGCGGTGAAGCGCTTCAAACTCGCGCCGGAAATAACAAGGCAACTTCGAGTGTGGATTGGCGAGCCGGATATCATCGTATCAGGATGAGTTAGTTTAAAATACTCGAAATTGAGTTGGCTTCCCTTTTTATTTCGAGTACTTTCAACCTCAGACTCACCGTTTTTGAGCTACGATCAAAAAGATTATCGAGAAAACATTTTTACGAAGCTCTGTCGACTTTGAGCGTCAGTAACTTATTTCTGACGCATCGGACGGTGATTCCAAAGATCCCCGCTCGCCGTGCGATAAGTAGAACGCGAGATATGAGCGTTAAAAAAAATCTGATTTAAAATGTCGGAAAAACGGTGAACCTTGAGAGTGCGCAAACTAAGGGTGGAGGTTTTCTTTTGAGACCCTTTCGATCGAGGAACAAATGAAAAACTGTACCCAAAATTCATGGGTCCCGAACTAGATTTACTGGCCTACACGCTCACAGTATTTTTCGGCGACGCTGACATTTTCGTAGCGAATATTCCTTGAGAGAAAATTCTCTTAATTTAGCAGTAGATATTCTTATGAGCAAATCCCTGATGGACGGGTACTTCTCAGGGACTTTTTCCATCGGAGCTTTTTTGCTCATTACAACTACTTTCGAGAAAATCAGCTAGTCTTCTTCGCGTAAGCGGATTTTGTGTTCTGAATTGTCTTGGGCGTCACTTTGGATTCGATTACTTTGGGGTCGAAATTTTTTTTACATATGTACTTGAATTTTATTATTATCATATCCTTTTTAGTAACAGAATTTTCCGCTATGAATTTTATTAGGGGCTAAATCTCCTTTACACAAAAATTTAACAATAACGCCTGTTTTTATGATAAGTACCGTATAAAATAATGTTCTCATTGTGCAAAATAGAGGTGTGTGCGGTGTTGCTTTTACCTACCGCGTCATTTTATGACGGTAGGATTGAGTTGGTGCTGCTTTAACTCAAACCCGCCGCACAAACTTAGGGTTGGAAAAAAGGCTTGAGATCTTTCATTCCACAGCGGTCGATTCGTTTAGGATATATAATCTTCGGTATCGTTACCGTTACCATAGGATTGAGCGCCACCCAGCTTCTTTAAATAGTTTCCCTGCATAAAGCTGGGACGATACAAGGGAAATACAGTGAAATCAAATTACCAAAAGAAATACTGGTTTATTCAATATCAGAATAAAATATTCTCCAATTGAATAGCGTATCTCCACAGATATAAAAATACTCCCCAATGTTCAAAATGATTGATTAAACTTAACTCAAAAGTCTTTGCAAATTAAACGTCCAATTAACCCCCAATTCTACAATGATCGCATAAAAATTACAGGGCAGAATACACAAAGGTCTCCCAACACAATATGACAACGCTCAATAATTGTTTCGATAAAGAAAAAAAGTCATAAGAAAAAGAAAAATCTTATCTGTGGATAAATGTGCAGCCGAAAAGAACTCTCCACTTTACAACCATCACCTAAAACAAATAAAAAGAGAAATTAAATCCACGCATCTAACCTGCGTGACTCGGTGATTAAAGTAATGCTCACCTAAGGGGCTAACTATGATCTCTACTTGTATTCTACGATTCAATATAGAACACGTTAATTAACTCGTACTCTACTTCAGAAGGAAGACAATGTACACCAACTCTTGCTAACACAATCAAAACTCGATCATTCATCGATCGGGTAACACTAACGAATTGCAAACAAGCAATGACGTTAATAGTTACAATATGTATCCCTTTCAAGAGGTAGTTAACGATACGTTTTACAAAAAAACAGAAGAAAAGGAAGGCATCCCCTTGCTGGTTATATGTCTCGGTTAAATACTGTTGTCCAATATTCTTATCTAATCCCCAAGCATCTCGCCATTGAAATCGATGATGGCTTACAAGAGCATATAATTCTGGCGCTCTTTTGTCCCATATATCTTCTAACGTTCAAAATTCCATAAATGTGTACTGCACTTGAGTTGAGTCATGCAGACACTCTCTCTAATAATGTTTTTTGCCCATTAATTTTTAATTTTCTTTTTAGGGTAAATTCGTTAATGTATCTGCGCATGCGCGATTCTGCCCTTTTATGTCTAAGAATATGTGTACCAAATTTGGTACCAATCGGTTCAGCCGTTTAGCCGGAAATGAGAGTACAGACGGACCGACATCATGGAGATTTTGTTTGATTCAGATTCCTGGTACTTTAAAAGATGTAGTTCCGTCAAAAAAAGTTGGGTTCAATTTTTACCCCAATACAATACCTCCCTTACTAACGTGCTGGTGGTAAAAATCATTGCTCCATCAACAAAACTATGTAAAATTTGATCATTCCTATGGCAACCTTAACTCAGAATTGAATTTAACTTACAATACCTCGCAAACTAATTGAGCAATAAATACTGCTTTCATTACAATTCCATACATGCGTAGTGTTTTCAATTTTAAATGTGTGTGATTAGAATTTAGTTACTACTGTTGGAATTCGTGTTGCGTTTGTTAATTTTCAAAAATTCTAACAGCGAAGCGTATATCCTTGGAATAAATAATCTACAACATAAATCAGAATAGGAGTGATTGGAGCGAATGGAATGTTCATTATACAGGGTGCCCTACATATGCAATAATGAGCTTGTCCATATTGAATTAAATTGTATGGTAAGACTTCGGTAACAAATGCATTATTCTCTAACTATTCGAATTGTGAAATGTACGGCACGTTTATCTGGCATTAAATATGAATGTTCGTCAACCAACAATTTACTTTGGAAAAAGCGCTTCAAAACTGACCAATATGTATTTTTATCTAAAGAAACGACAGTCAAATTTAAATGCAACATTTCTTTATGTTTACAAATTTTTATTCTTAAGTTCCCTTGGGGGTAATCGCATATATCATTTCGTTAACAAAAGAAATGTTTTTATGCCGCCCCTTGCGAGTATGTGCATAAAGCCTCGAACTTTACAACTTCTGCTGTGTATACAATTTCTCATCATCTAAACTTCAAGTGGACATCTTAATACACCTAACCCTTAATGACTACAGCGAGTTATAGTTTGGTATAAGGGGAGACTTTAATGGAAATGATGTATGTGTCCTCGTAGTTCCCCCTTTTACTCATAAACGCTTCCCTGCTCTGGAAGCGAACCCTAAATTACGCATCGCTATTGTATAACCTTTGTGCAGGTGTTGGCGATATTACCTTCGATGTGTGAATGCGATGTTTATTGCATGATATTTGGCTGAAAACCTTCACTTCACCTTATTCATTCCTCACTTTTATCTTTTAATATCTTAAGGGGTTTATAATTATACGAATTGCGACCGTAATAGACCGAATAATAATAAACCGGGGCAATTATTAATAGGTGGATATAAATGCAGGTAAGGGCAGATAATATCTACTACGCCTTTTAGATCCTGCTGTACGCGATCACGTATTTAATAATGAGGTTTCCACACCGTCTTTTAAATAATGCATGGCATTTAATGGACACGGGTTTTATATTATTCAAACGGCATTTCAATATTAATGTTAATGACCTGTGATACCAAACTTGGCATTTTAATAGTTATATACTTTTATTTATTCACGTTGTTGGCCAATTATTTATAATCGATCCATTGAAAGCATGAACGTGTTCCACTTCGTGTCATTTTTATACAACGCCTGAATTGAATATTCTTTCTTTTTCAGTACTACGAAATGTCGTACGGACTCAACGTTGAAATGCACAAACAGGTAAGCGCTTTTTTTCTCTTTATTTTCACTACCTACACATAACACAGCTACAACATACATTTTCAAAATAAAAGCTACCATAAAAATATAATGCCTAATTAAATCACACCTCCCCTAGTCAGTCACGAATGTCGAGTTTAATGTACACGTTGCCTGCACCCTTGCGTAAATATACCTATCATGTATAGTGGTCACGCAAGGCAATTAACGCACCCTTACTTCATATCTCCCCTAATCAAACAGTATGCTGCGCCTCCACCCTCTATTTACATCCTGATCTAAGCGTGCCCTCACGTCCCCAGCTTCATTTCAAATTCAGATTATTTCATATCCAGAGGGTGATGTCTGATTCACTTTATAAGCATACTTAGACAGGGTGAACAATTTACGGGGGTTTAGGGTTCAGCGGCGCTAATGTATTAAAATTTATTCGTCAATGCTAAATTTCCGACATATTTGTACTTTCCACGAAGATCGTCGAGATTTGAACGCGATTGGATGAAAAAGGAATTATTCTTGACAGATATATTAAAAGATTCTATTTCTACATTGAAGGGGTTTCGGCGGTAGCAATTTCAGGAACCTTTTATTGAAGTGAATTGGGTTGAAGGGTTTGCAGAATTGCGTGCACATGTCAGTTTGTGGCATTTCACCCTCGTAGTTTCATTGTTTGCGACGGAGTGGCGTTTGGTATTGTATTGCCTAATGTGGACACTTTTTCTAGTCATAAGATCAATTTGAATTCCGCCGTCAACATAGCGAATGCGATTTTTAACAGCTTATAGTGAATTAATTTCCGCCAATAACACAATCAAATCAACTGTATAAATGTAATTAGGTACGCATACCTTATTGCCTAAACTCAAGCCGCTTTCAAACGCGTATAGGATTAAGTTATTTGTGTAGCTGTGGGTAGGTATATCGATAATGTATCTAATTAACCTCTATTTGGAAGACACGTGCAATAATCGTGACGATGCGGTCACATTTCCCTTACTTGTGGAAAACCACTGGTTCACGTAAAACCATGAGTTCACGTGTTAGCACGCATTTGAAAAACTAATGATCAAAAATATCAAAGCCTTCATTCTAAGTAAAGGTTATAACAAGTCTCTGAAGTATAGAACAACGCATTTTAGTTATATCTAAGTTATTAGTTAATTTAGTTTAATTTAACAGTGAAACAACAATCTATAGAGATGACCAGAATTAAAATTGCTTTTCCATTTATCTAATTTTAAGAATATGGAGGGAAGGGGTAATAAGGGCTCTGGAAAACGCATAAATAAGTTTGAAAGAACTATGGAAAACTATTAGAAAAGGAAAACTATGAGTGACATCATTTCAGTGTTTTCTATAGATTTATTTCTGTTTTCCAGAGTCTCTTAGGTGTTTTAATAATAATAATAATAATATTTATTCATGTTTTATACACGTGTGCATGTACATTCGTCAAAATCAACAATAGAATTTACATAAATCAACTAGATAGACACTTCATACGATTAAAATTATAAGTCAACGAGAACAAACAAAATTACACTTTAGGAACTCTTCATACGAGTAGAACGCTTTATCATTGAGGAACTTTTTAATTTTATTTTTGAAATCTCTAGGAGTTAGTATTTTAATTGTATTCCTCTAGTCCAATTGTTCAAGTAATCTAAGCCCTTCCCAGATCTAGTAGACTCAGTTCTGGAAAAAACTGCTTTCGAGAGGAAAGTCTTTGGAAGAAGGGTGCACAATTTTGGAAGCTCTAGAATATCTGGTAATGCGTTACAAATGTATACAATCAAGTGTGAGACTTCGAAAAGTATATTGACTTCCTAGTGCTATCGGTTGTAAGTTCCTTAAAAGTTTTCCAAGACATTCCTAGACCTAGACCCTTCATTGATGTTTTTAACCTAAGACCATCGGTTGGTAAAATTGTCTTTGCGCCATTGTAATTATTAGGTTGATTATCACAAGTTACTTATTACATCGATTTCAAAAATTTTATATACCCTTGGCAACAAGGAGCTTTTAGAGGAGCACATTGATATAATAAAAAGAGATGAGTGGTTGTGATGTACAATTTTAAAGTTCATTAGCCTACAAGTAATTTCGTAAAATACTTTTTAAAATTTTTCGAGAGTGTTCTAGGATTTTCGTGCCGTGTATCAAAGAAAACGGTTCCTTTTATATCCCCCAGATCAAAAATCCCTGATTTAACAACCCAGGGTTCTTGAATGGGCAATGTTCTGCTTTGTTACGAGAAGGCATCTGCCTAAAGTAACAGCAGCCGCCCTAGAGTGTTGCAGGTTTATGTGTCTAAAATTCTCTTTCATATGTAGAGAATTACCTTGTTGCTAAGCATGCACTGACCACAGGTTTCCTTGGCAACCTGAACGGTGATGCTTCTCTTGATATTTGCAGTTGCCTCTGTAGCAGCTGCTGATGTTCTACTGAAGTACTCCACACCTCAGGTTCGGCAGGGTTACTAACCCTTACCTTTAGAGAGGAAAACCCATAACTGAGCCTTCTCCCCTGCCGAAAACTATCCCTCAGGTCTATGTGGAAGAGACACCAGCTGCCTACCTTTGCCCAAGAATTTTAAACCCCCAAGCGTCGCTTGATCGCCATAAGGTCGTCAGGTTCCCCCGGAACCCAGATGACCTCCTCGCGGAGCCTAGGAAGGCGGTCAACCTGCACTACCTTTAGGTGTGCAGCCTCCCACGATCCACAATTGGGGGAGGTTGCTAATTACCTCCTTCAACCACTTAAGGGAATGGTTGTTCTCGCACGATATTCTAAGGATCCTGCCGGAGTGGCTCCCCTGAACATGGGTGTTAGTGTAGCGCCTTTTTGGGCGCTGGTCATATCCGCTTGGTTAGCCGTTAGCCTACTCAGAGTGTTATTGGTATTGACTTTCCTTTGCTTGTAGCTACTATTGCGTGGTGCTCCAGTCTTACTGACACCCGCCTTTGGTTGGGACTGTGGTCCACTCTTCTTCGTCGGCGTTGAGTCATCTGACCTCTACATTTTTTCTCTCCGCCTACCCGTGTCTGCCTGGCCGGAGTTAGTTCTAGGGGCCTGCCTCTGGGTCAGGGTTGGGTTACGGGAGATGGATGGTTTGGAGATGGCTGTTGGAGTAGATTGACCCATTTGGGCCAGCCATGCCTTCTTTCTCCATTTCTGCTCAGCGCCGGAGATGAGCTTGAGTTGGTGTATTGTCGAGGCTCGAGACCTGTAACACAGGTTAACGGATTTCCTAGGACGCACCCTCTAGTTTATTGTTTTTGTGAGTCTCCATGTCAGAACTACTGCCCTACAGATGCCAGTCGGCGGTCTGACCCGCAGTCCTAAGTAAAATTCTGTCCAAACTAGTGTGTTATCGCCACTTCAGGTAACTTAACTACCGTTCATCCGCTATTACGGGTCGCCTCCCCCGCCACAAACACGAAGGTATTGTTATTAGTCTGGATTCTCATTGGTGGTCGTCATACGCTTGATCTAGCGTTACACGTCCCCTTAATAATCACTGCACCACTCAAACCCCGCAACCGCGTCAGGATCCAATACTGCGGGGTATCATGTAGGGGCTTTGCAATGCAAAAGTACGGAACCAAAAATTAGCTGTGGCCGTTACAGAAAGTAAAACTAAAATACAATCAGTCACAATATATTAATAAAAATGGTCCTTGACAAGAAGTTATCTTGGAAACTACATATTGAATATATGTTAAACTTGCAATAAAGGACTAAATTTCATGAAATCTATCTCCAAAACCTGGTGGGGAGCAGATGTCGCCAGCTCTTTATTATTTTATCGATCTTACATTAGACCAATCATAGATTATGGATGCATACTTTATGGGTCGGCAAGTAAACACCTGTTGAATAAAATTAAAATTTTTGTAAGCACTGTTCTGAGTGAGAATTTGTTTAGGTGCAATGAAATCCACCCCTATCACACCACTGTATGTAGAGGCCCTCGAACCACAACTAGATTTAAGAAGAGAATATCTAAGCTCGAAATTTCTTATTAAAATTCAATGCCAAAACCCTACATAGTACAATAGTATTTGTTACCTTAATGAACAAGATTTATCAAACAAATTTTGGGTACATAAGAACTCTCCACCGCTTTGCTCGGCTTTTCGTTCTATTAATGAGGAAGGTATTTCGGTAAACTACACAAATACCTGGGAAGTGGGAGATTTCTCCTTTTTCAAAAATGTTAACGTTACTGAACCCAATTATTCTGAAAACCCTAAAATAAGCCAAAACATTTTAAAATCCATTCTAGAAAATTGGCCTGTATCTATTACCATATATACAGACGGATCCAAAGACGAGTTAGAGACTGGCTGTGCTTTCTATATCCCGACTTCACAGACGGAGAAATCTTTTCAGCTCTCTAGTAACATTTCCATTTTTAGCGCAGAGGCAATAGCTATATATGAATGATTGAAATATTTTCAAACCCTAGATGAAAGGTCAGATGTCATAGCATCCGACTCTCTATCTGTGCTAAATAGCGTACAAAGTCTCCTTTGTAATAACTCTAATGAGTACATATTCCAAATAAAAAGAATGATAAATGAATTATTTAATGTGAAGAAAGAAATACACTTCTTATGGGTTAAAGCCCATATAGGACTTAAAGATAACGAACATGTAGATCAACTAGCAAAAAAAGCTATTACGCAAGGTTCCAAAACGGACTATAAACTTTGTATTCCCGATGTTTACGTATACTTAAAAAAGAAAAATAAGGAGAGCTGTAAAAGTTCTTGGAATAACTTCCGTGCCACTTCCAGTACGTAATATTCCATAATAAAACCTGATGTCCCAAACGAGTACTGATTCAAAAATATACAGGTTCCCCGGAAGTATATAACGACTATTATTAGAATGAGGTTTGGGCATGCGTGCTACCCATCAGCCCACTTACACAAAATACATGTCCTGGATTCTAGTCTGTGTCAACTTTGTAGAGAAACAAGTGATCTAAACCA